AATCTCATTCAAAATTTTTAACTTAAATTCAGTAATTATTTCATTTCAGTGCATACATTCAAATTCAAGCATTCACACTGCAGTTTCTTCAGAAAATGCACTTTCTAGTTGGTAGTAGGCTTTCGAGCCTATACAGCTTGAAGCAAGACAACATGCATGAAGAGGATGGTGTGCACAAAATACTCATTTGCCTAATAATTCTGCACTCCCTGTATATGTACAAAGGGTCTGACTGCACCCACTAACTGCATGTTGACTAAAAAACACACAAACACATTGTTTTCTGTTAGAAGTTAAGTAAGTTGACTAATAGTAGGAAAGCTTTTCATGCAGACTTCCTCTGAGTTTAATTTCCACCTGTCTCACTTTTCTATTTAAAAAAAAACAGTCCTTACTTCTAACAGACCCATCCTACAGTCTCTTTGTCCTGCAGAGGTGCTGCTCTAACCTCTTCTTTGTTGAAAAAAACAAAACTAACACTATGAAACATAAACATTTAAAAGTACAGTGTGAAGCAAACAATATTTTGTGGTGATAGGTTAATGATTTTTTATCACTTTTCTTCCCTGCCTAGATTACTGCAACAGTCTAAGCAAACAATCAGCTGAATGACTGCAGACCAAACAGATTTAAGCTGCCAGGCTTTAAGCTCAAACACATCACATAGGATCCCAGCACTCCCATTTTTCATACTGGCTCCCAGCTTCACGCTGATTTTAACCTCAAAGTAAATGTAAAGCAGAAAAATCTGTGAGTTTTGGAGTATAAATAAAATATAACTTTACAAAGTAAATTCTAATACATTTTATATTAAAATGTTGTGTTACAGTGTGAAAGCTATAAATTGTTTTATTGTGACTTTGTTTTGATTTTCAGACTTCAAACTGTCTGTGAATCATTTGCTTTGCATTCACTCTACTCTTACGTTATAAACAGCAGAGTTTTCATGTTTCTCTTCTAACTGGATCATTATTATGTGAACAGTTCCCACTAAGCCCACTGTGACCCTGCAGCCATCCTGGACTCAGATATACAGCGGTGAGACAGTCACTGTCAGCTGTGAGATTCATGGAGGTGAAGGAGCTCAGTGGACGTATGAATGGAGACGAGGCCAAGTAAACACAGGTCATACATCCAGTGAATACAGAATCAGCAGCGCTGCTGAGTCTGACAATGACGAATACAGCTGCCGGGGTAGAAGAAGCTTTTCCTGGACAGAGTGGAGTGACATCATCGCATTCAGAGTATTATGTAAGTTGGACACATTTCACACATTTTAATTTATACTGCACAATGTTTCATCCAAAAACACAACAAAATTCTTTGTATTGCAACAACACAACAGGTTTTGTTTTTAATTTTGTGTGATTATTTGGGCAGCACGGTGGCATGGTGGTTAGCACTGTTGCCGCACAGCAAGAAGGTCCTGAGTTCAATTCCACCATCAGGCTGGGGTCTTTCTGTGTGGAGTTTGCATGTTCTCCCCGTGTTTGCGTGGGTTCTCTCCGGGTACTCCGGCTTCCTCCCACCGTCCAAAGACATGCAGCTTGTGGGGATAGGTTAATCGGATAATCCAAATTGCCACTAGGTATGAATGTGAGTGCGAATGGTTGTCTGTCCCTGTGTGTTGGCCCTGCGACAGACTGGCGACCTGTCCAGGGTGTACCCTGCCTCTCGCCCTATGACAGCTGGGATAGGCTCCAGCGCCCCCCGCGACCCTGAAAAAAGGATAAGCGAATGGATGGATGGATGGATTATTTGGATATATTGGAGGTTTAACAGCATTGTTTGCAAACAACAGCTAACTTACAGCTCATAGGTTACATGTTCATAAATGTATAAATAAATGCAAATATGCAGAAATAAGTAAACAATCAAATATAACGATCAGTAAATTACCTGGTTTAATTTATTTAATAAAAACAAAACATTTTATTGTTGATTTTCAAGTCAAATTATCAGTCTGCTAATGATATCTTTTTATTTGAACAGCTCCTCCTAAGCCCACTGTGACCCTTCAGCCACCTTGGCCTCAGTCATACAGCGGTGAGATATACAGCGGTGAGACAGTCACTGTCAGATGTGAGATTCAGGGAGGTGAAGGAGCTCAGTGGATGTATGAATGGAGTCCAGCCAAGTTAAACACACCTCCAACATCCAATGAATACAGAATCATCAGAGCTACCGAGTCTGACAGTGGAGAATACAGCTGTCGGGGTAGACGAGGTTCTTTCTGGACAGTGTCGAGTGATGTCATTACATTGACTGTCTTATGTAAGTTGAATATATTTCTCTCATTTTAATTTCAAAAACAAAACAAAATAATTTCATCAGTACTGTGGGTTTCTGGGGTATTTTTTTAACACAGTGGAGTGATATCATCACACTGACTGTGTCATGTAAGTTGGGCATATTTCACCTTTTTAAAAAAAAAAAAATTCTATTGCACAACGTTTAATGCAAAAACACAACAAAATATCATGTCTTTCAATAAAACTGCAGGATTTGTTCTCATTTTAGTATCAAAAGTAGCATAAAACAAGTTTTACATAAATACACATAAAATCCACAGCAATCACTCACAGTGAAACTGTTATGATACGGCTGTGTGGCAGGGAGGATGTAGGACACAAACGCAAAACAATCATCAGAGCAATGAACTTAAAATGCTGCTTTACTGCAGCGGTTAATTTTCACGAAAAGAAAAAAACTTGCAAAAACAAAATGAAACTAAAAACTGGGAACTAATAACAAAAACACTGGGAAACCTGTAAACTAGTGACACTGATCTCAGGGAGCACGGAAACATGCAGCATGGTGAGGGGACGACGTGAGAGAAACACAGGTCTAAAATACACTGAGCGAAATGAGGGAATGAGACACATGAGGGGAGAACAGTCGAGACCAGGGTGAAGCAAAACTAGAAACAGTGACAAAGGACAAGACCGTCAAAGTAAAACAGCAAGTATAACACAGACACGGACGAGACACTGAACAACGTGAACATGGAGCACAGAGACCGGAGAGACAAAAGACACGACTAGGGTGGGTTTTGATTATCTATTTCCCGATTAAAATTGATTCTCGCTTGAATAACTTGATATCGATTCAATAAAATCCTGAATCGATTTTCTAAATATAAATGTATTTTGTCCGAAACGCCAGAATCTCAGGTTAAACCACAAGATTTCAACAGCCACCAACCAGCTAAAACAGTAAATGAGAGCAGCACCTGCTGTGATGCTCACACCTTTGATAAAGTCTCACAAGTGTCAGCTTTGTTTTTATAGATATAAAAATATGGATATGTACTGATAAGTGATCAGAATTATAATATTTCTGACTGTCTGAAACAAAATTTCCCCGATTCAAATCGAATCGACTTCTAGAAATCAGTGACGATACCCAACCCTGGACACGACTGACTGGGGAACAAGAAAATACAGTGTCCCCTCGTTTATGTCGGGAGTTAAATTCTAAAAGTAATCCACGATAGGTGAAATCTGCGAAGTAGCCAACTTTATTTTTTACAATTATTATAGATGTTTTAAGGCTGTAAAACCCCTCACTACACACTTATTCACTTTTCTCAGACAGGCACGAACATTTTCACAGTTTTCTCTCTTGTTTAAACTCTCAAAGTTCAAACCTTCTAGAAAAATAAGTCCAAAATTAAAGAATGAAACCAAACACACCTGCGGTTGCCTTTGACGGTGCAAAACGTTTTGTCGCCAGTGTTGTGTTTGTTGGGGAGAAAACTTACAAACATACAGTGCAGCACTTCAGAGTCACACTGCTAGCGATCAAAGATTTATGTAAATTTGACAAGCTGAACGCATTCTGTACTGGACAGCAGCGGTCCTTTATCGCAGTCTTTCTTGTGCTAAGGACCGGATAATGCCAGACAGTATTTTCACGGACCGACCTTTAAGGTGTCACGGATAAACACATCAAATTAAAATGATACGACCAAGACAAAAACTGTGGTGTTTTGTAAATCTAATAATAAACATGAATTCATTGTGTAATTGTGTAACTTTATTAGCGGCGTCCTCCTGAAATGCGCCAACAACATTGAGAGTAAGATCCTCCTCTCTCTCCTTGATGCTCTCTGATTGCTATGGTAACACGAAAATATTTATTTCAAAATAAGACACAAAATTACAAAAAGATAAAAAATAAAGTACATGAAAATATATGATTCACCATAACGCTGAATCAGTGAGAGCCCTGTGCTTGTTTCTCTGCAACGAGCCGGTCCCACCTGGGCATAATGGGGGACAGTGACACCTGAAGTGTGTTGCTTTTGCTCAGTCTGCGCCGCAATTTTGTTTTGGAAGCTGTAACTGTAGAAAACTCCGCTTCACACAGTTATGATGTCGGAAATGGCAACAGGGTTTTTAGTGCATGCTGTGGCAATCTCGAGGTATTCTCGGGCGACACCGAGAGCCATCTGAGTCCAGGATGGCTGCAGGGTCACAGTGGGCTTAGTGGGAACTGTTCACATAATAATGATCCAGTTAGAAGAGAAACATGAAAACTCTGCTGTTTATAACGTAAGAGTAGAGTGAATGCAAATAAAGGTGTTCATGAGTGTCATAATATGTTTAATGATACAATAGCTAGAAGAACCTCCAGTGTAGAACAGATGCATTAGTGGATCAGTGGTTTGTGGTTCAGTTCATGGAAAATCAGTCAGAGCCACAAGAACCTGTTTGTTATACAATAACTACAAGTGTGACACACTCCAATGTCCCAAATCAGCAACTGCACCAGTTTCACATGATGACCTCATCACAACTTTTAGAAAACATTTCTCACATGATGATTTCTTCCAGTCTTCTTAATCTGCTGTCAACTCATGAAAAAATAATCTGTAACTTTTTGGAATCTGAACAAAAACTGTGCAAAGTAAAGACTTTACCTTTTACATTTTACTGAAAATATTGTGTTACAGTTTGAAACTTTTGTGTTGTGACTTTTTGTTATGTTTAACTTGTTTCTCTGTGAACCAGCGGTTTTGTAATGACTCTACTCTTATGTTATAAACAGCAGAGTTTTTATGTTTCTCTTCTAACTGGATCATTCTTATGTGAACAGTTCCCACTAAGCCCACTGTGACCCTGCAGCCATCCTGGACTCAGATATACAGCGGTGAGACAGTCACTTTCACATGTGAGATTCAGGGACGTGAAGGAGCTCAGTGGACGTATGAATGGAGTCCAGCCAAGTTAAACACGCCAACATCCAGAAAATACAGAATCATCACAGTTACTGAGTCTGACAGTGGAGAATACAGCTGTCGGGGTAAAAGAAGCTTTTCCAGGACAAAGTGGAGTGATATGATCCCATTCAGAGTACTATGTAAGTTGGACACATTTCACTCATTTTAATTTATACTACACAATGTTTCATCCAAAAACACAACAAACTACTTTGTATTTCAACAACACCGCAAGTTTTGTTTTTAATCTTGTATCAAAAGTAGCATAAAACAGTGTTTTAATTTAATTATAACAACATACATTAATCATACAGTAAAGTTAAACACACCTCCAACTTCCAATGAATATAGAATCATCACAGTTACTGAGTCTGACAGTGGGTTGTACAGCTGCCGGGGCAGAAGGGACTATTTGTTAACATATTGGAGTAAAGTTACCTGACTGACTGTATCATGTAAGTTGAAGATGTTCCGTACAGATAATTTGTTTTGTTAAAATAAGTGAAAACTCGCTTTCTTGTAGATTTGTAGCTGATTCTTTTGTGCTGCTCACTAAAATATTTTGGTTTCAATTTGACAACAAAAAAAAAAACATGAAAAGCAACTTTTTACTCACAGTGAAGACAAAAAACAAATCAGAGTATCGTCTCTGCTGTGCAGCTCTACAGAACAGGAAAACAGTGTTTGTCCCAGTTCTGTGATTTTTGTGTCACAGGTTTACGTGCTTACACAGGGACCTCCAGAGCCTTTCCAACAGTGCTGCGGACCTCGGGGGGAAAGCAGTGCTGTGGAAATGACAGTCTTCACTAGTGGGGATAGTTACAAAGCTTTCTTCGTTATGAATTAGCGATACATGTTTTTATTAAACAATTAAAGATAAAACACCACAAACTCTAGTAGAGGACATAAAGTCAGAGATAGAAACTACAAGGAGCAGGCGCATTTAGTACAGGTAGAGCTCAGTGGCCAGCACAACAAACTCTGGATCCTTTGCTTTTAGTTAGCATTTAGCATTAGTAGCGCATGCTGCGTCCGCTGTGAAAGGGCCTTTATGCTGCGCTCTGTGACTCATAGCAATAGTCCCGGGTCAACACTGACTTTGTGTTAAACTAATCCTAAAGTAATAATGGTATTTCTAACCACTGACATACCACAACTTTATTATTTCAACAGCTACCGAAGGTTTCTGGACCTAGCTTGTATGGGATATTTATATAGAGATCCTCCAGCTTTAAACTTTATTAGTGGTGTGCGGATCGATATTGTAATATCAATTCTTCCGATACCTGTAATTTATGTTCTAAAATCGATTCTCATATTAAAATATCAATATTTTAGTACTTTGGAGTAAATTTGTAGTTTATCATTAACAGGAACACAGTGGAAAGAAACTATATCATTCGGATCGTCTAAATTGGGAGGAACTACTTCCTCTTACGCCTTTCATAGTCATATGCAAAATACAGCTGTATAAATGTGTTGCAGCCTCTGGTGTGCGCACTCACAACAATGATTGAGCATAAACGGAGTGATGTGTGGACGTATTTTACCTCGACAAAAAGCCAAGATGCGGTATTTGATACATGTGGCAAGACAGTGAGGTTTTGTTAAAAACCTCAGAGTAAATCATATCACAGAATATTAAGAGCGTATGTTGAGGCAAACTGAAGAGGAGGAGAGGGACAGGTGCTGCTAGGGCGAGACAGACGTCTCTTGCGGAGTCCTTTAGTGTTGCAGGCAGCAACATGCTTAAATAGCGCACAACTTCAAGTTTTTTTTATTTCTATATGATTATTCTGCATTATTAAATAGTAAGTACAAGTAGTCTGATGTCCTGTAATCATTATGAAGCTATATCTTTATATTATTATTACAATTACATAATACAATTAAATATTGTATTATGAAATACAATGAAACATTAAGTTTTTGTACAAAGTATCAGTATCGGATCAGTATCGTCGATATCGCCCTGAATTTTACTTGGTATCGGATCGGAAAGGAAATCATTGGTAAAATGAAGTGGCAAACCGTCCTGGCTTTATAGTAATGAGCTACAAGCATACTCTGATGGGCAAAGTTAAGTGGCAAACCGTCATACCAACTTAAATTTGTGCTGGAATTACACTGTGACAGCAGAAATGTGCATAAACTACTTACGGTAGGAGAGTTTGTCAAAGTAGGACAGTTTGTCAGAACATGCTGGTCTGTTAATTCAGGTTAGGACTGGGCAATACGGACAAAAATCCATATCATGGTATTATTTGACGCATGTGCGGTAACGATATATATCGCGATGTATTATTTTCTTCTGTATTTTCCACACTATAATGCGTACTTAAAATCCTTTAATTTTCTCAAAAAATCAACAGTGTGCCTTATATATGAATTCTGGCTGTGCTTACTGACCTCGAACCAATTTTATGTGGTCCACAGCGCTCAAATATCTGTCAAAAAAATGGTAAGCTACGAAGCCGCATTGCTTGGTGGATTGTTGGAGCATTACTGCCGTAGTCAGGAGTCAGTCAAACGAACCCTGCAGCATCACTGAGAGTTAAAAACTGTCTAAATTGTATCACCTTTAATAAAATGATCAGTGTTACTGCTTTACCAGGTGTAACAGTTACGTTTAACATCCAGGCATTGATGAAAACAAAATTTATTAAATTTAACGAAGTTAGAAGTTAGCAGGAAGTTAGCTCAGTATTTTCCACCTAAACATGATATAGCATGTTCTGACTGAGAGATTTCAGAAAAAATTAAAAAATATACAGCTCTGCTATCACTTCCAACATAAATGAAGTTACTGAAGCTGGACTGGCTGGTATATAATTATGTGCTACACAATCGCTAGCAACACAGCCATGTTAGCATAACATGGCCACAGTAAAGGTGAAGGATAGCTGCTAATCTTTTTCCACTGATAAAAATTAACGGGAGGGTTCCCGATGGTCAGGAATAAATGTAATCGCATGGCAGGATGCTGCAAACGGACCAAACTTCAGTCAGGAGAACAACTGAGATAATTCATCCACAATACAAGGTTAGTTATTAATATAAAATCTAAAAAAGTTCAAGTCACCAAAGAAGGCCAAACCGTTACTTTTCAAACGGTGCCAGTGCTTAAAGAATGAAGAAGACAAACTTTGTCCAAAAATCTCTTATATCTTTATTTATGGTGACTCCACTGTTGAAAATGGATGGAGATTTTTGACTATGTATTTTGTCACTGCCCTATGAATTTCGTCCACTTTTTCTTTGGTCATTTTAGCCTTTTTGGCCAGGGTGAAGAGAGTATCTGCCATCAAACAAGACAGCCGCATGTAACTTTGACGTTGTTTGCTAGTTCACCTTACATGCATTTATCATGCATCATACATTTACATACATTTAATAACGTGGTTTAAAAAAAAAAAAAATAAAGCACTGAAATGTGCGCTGCTTTTCAGTCTGGTTAATGCCAATATACCAACGACAAAAATACATTTCAGTGCAAATCAAATAAACCATGAAAAGTGTCTAAAATGGTGAGTTAGTTAAAAGCTCACATGTAAGCTATGGCGTTATTTTTGTGCCACTATTTTAAGCGCACCTAAAAATGTTTTGCTGGTGCAAGTGTTGCATTTTGAAGAGAAATTTATTTTGAGCGAAGATAAGCTAAATTTGAATGAACAAAGATTTATTGCTGCTTCATTTCAGTGTTTGCAATTATCCATAATTTTATAATTGTAAACACACACCTTCTCGCTCGGTTTTTGCATTTGCTCAGATCACGGACCTGCTCGCAATGTGTTGCTTTTGTTATGGAACAGCTGTGTGCAGACAGAAATCGTGGACCCAAAAGTGCAGACACTCGGAGGCACAAAGTAAACTTCAAAAAACAGCTTTAATGCTGAACTAAAAAGATACCAGAACTGAGACTTTAAACATAAACTCAGGCAAGCAGACAAAACAGAGGTCAGGAGGCCGGCCGGGCGGGAGGCACCGGCGGCGACGTAGTTCAGGGGGCCGTCCATGACGGCAACGACGTCCAGTCATCGGACAGGATGTGCAGGCCAGAAAGGCCGGGCAGGACGGGCAGGACCAGACGGCATGGAGACCTCAGGCGCAGACGAAGCTAGACGGAGTGAGGCAGGACCAGGCGACGCTGAAGACTCGGAGGCTGGACCAGGCGAGGGCGGCGGCGCGGCAGGCGGCGGCGTGGGAGGCGCAGGTGGTGGCGCTGCTGGCGCAGCAGGTGGCTGGACGGGCCCCTCGGACCCTCCAGCGGGAGCAGGTGGCTGGACGGGCCCCTCGGACCCTCCAGCGGGAACAGACGGTGGAGTGAATGACTGAGGTGAGAACTGAGCAGGTGACTGAGCCGACAGGTGAGCTAAAGTTTGAGCTATGGAGAGAAGCTTAACATGCATCAACTGTTGTAACGAAGGAAGTAATGGTGGGTTAGGTGGTGGAAGAGCAGACGGCTGAGCTAGGTTTTCCGAGTCTACCGAGCCTGAGGAGAACTGCTGGACGGGCTCACCTGAGCCTCCAGCGAGGACAAAAACAGGTGCGGGGGCCTGCTGGGCAGTAGCCGCTCCCACCCGCGGAGTAGGTACGGGCGCAGAGACTAGCGGAGCCTCAGCTGGCCTGGAAACTAGAGCAGGGACAAACTGGGCCCTGGCCCCCCCTCACCCGAGGAACAGATACAGGCGCAGGAGACGACTGGACTACAGCCGCCCTGGGCGGAGGAGCACAGGAAAGCAAAGGAGCAGGCTCAATGAAAACCGGACCATCAAAAATAGGTGACGACCCTTTCCCACCACGTTTAACAGTCTGTGCAGTCTTAGGTTTAGCAGTGTTCACAGTCTCAGAAAAAACAGACTCGGCAAACTTGGGTTTTAGCTTGTTCCCACCCCAATGAGCAGACCTCGAACTAAAAATCCCAGACGAATGCTTATTGTGATGAACTTGCGCAGGAGGATTCAAACCAAAACTGGCCTCCCAATCCAAATCCTCGTCGAGAAAAGAAATCCCGGAAGTGTCTGAGGTAAGTTCATAGTCTTTACTGTTTAACAGCTCAGGTGGAGTGTGGAAAGTGTAGTCCTTTTGACTCACCACCGGAGGTTGCTCAGACGTGTCCATATGACAGCGACGTGAGCGCCGTTTCCTTTGAGCAGAGGTAGCTGGCTGTGTGAGCAACTGAGCCTCCGGTGCACAGAACGGTGACGCTGAGGATGGAGCGTGAGCGCCTGAAGCCACGCGGAGGACTCCCAACTGAAGCAGCCGCATCTTGAGTGCCAGCGGAGCAACAGGTGGAGACTTCTGGCAGCTCCGGGGACCGCCGAGAGCCAGCCGAGTGCCATGGAAAATGCGCCCGACGTCAGGGGTGAGCCATGGCTTCCAGCGGAGTTCCTCCTCCAGCTGGGCAAAGGCTGCCCGGCGTCACTCCTGAAGTTCAATGTCTGCTGGGTCCATAGTATGGTCGCGATCTTCTGTTATGGAACGGCTGTGTGCAGGCAGGAATCGTGGACCCAAAAGTGCAGACACTCGGAGGCACAAAGTAAACTTCAAAAAACAGCTTTAATGCTGAACTAAAAAGATACCAGAACCGAGATTTTAAACATAAACTCACGCAAGCAGACAAAACACACAGCAAAATAAACAGTAGATCACAACACAGACACAGAGAAACACAGGGCTTAAATACACAGAGGGAGCAATCAGGGAATGGGTAACAGGAGGGAAACACAGCTGGGGCAAATCAGGCCTAACGAGACAAGTGGAAGCGAAACCAGATACATAACATCAGACAAGGACCTTCAAAATAAAACAGGAAACATGACACAGACTGAACTAAAGACACAGACTCACACGCACTGCAACAGAGGGAACAGAGACGTGGGACCAGGGCAGACACTGACTGGACACGGGGATATAGGAACTAAGGATACACAGAGACGCGAACTAGACAAGAGGATACAGCTGACAGGGGAGACAGAGCAACTAGAGAAGACAGAGACCTAAACCATAAGACAGAACTCAAAGAAACCAAAGACTAGAAATTATAAATAATAAACTCAAAAACCCTGGGTCAACGACCCAGGCATCCTAACAGCTTGCGCTCTCAACATTTCTACCCCTGCATTTGTGCCACAAAACCAACCAATCACAGACTTGGATGCAAAAAATTCTAATTGGCTGTTTTGGTCTCCAATCAGCTCACTAGCTGCTGTAGCTAAATCCAGGCAAATATCCCAGAATGCATTTCATCCAAAACTCAAACGAGGCAGTGGCGGAAGAACGCAGAGTGGCGGAGTTTAAAATATTACTCTGTCTGGATCACAAAATAAACTTTTACAATATTTTCAGGCGAGAATGTTGCTGTGTAAACTTCAAACATCTGCTCGATTTAACAAGACATCACATATTTGCAACAGTGCTCTAACGTTTTCAGAGATGCCTGTTACCCACCAGCTGACCGGCTGGTCAAGGCTCCCGGCACATTGTTTTCAAACCCCCCGTGGTCTTTCCCTACTCGGGTTAAACATAATATATAAGTCACTTAGCTCAGCAGTCCCTAACATTTTTTTGCTCCACAAATTGGTTTAATGTCAGACAATATTTTCACTGACGGGCCTTAACGTTTCGCGGATAAATACAACAAAATAAAATGATAAGACCAACAACAAAACTCTTGTATTTTGTAGATATAATAATAAACGCAAATTCACTGCGTAGTTGTGTAACTTTATTGGCAGTGTCCTCCTAAAATGTCCTCAACTAAAAAACAAATATAAAGTGCATGAAAATATAGAATTAGTCATAACGCTAAATCAGTGAGAGCCCTGTGCTTGTTTCTCTGCAATGAATGTAATGATGGACAATGGAGGACAATGACATCCCGTGTATTGACTAGACCACCAGGTATTATAGGAAAAACCATAAATCCTTTGAATGAAAACAAACGCTTTTGTGACAGTGATATACAGTCTTGTTGGTATATATATATGATTTGTACACAGTGTATCACGTTCATGTTTCCCTCTCACCACATATCTAAACCGATATCATGACCAGCAGCTTTTACAGCTGTGGCTCCAGCAAACATCAGCTGATACTAGAAAGTAATATTAAATAAATTCAAACGACAGCTGATCAAGCTTAAACATGCTGCTGTTGTTTCGAGCGACATCCACTGGTTTCCTCTTTTTGGTGCAAAGTGAGCGATAAACAAACAAGAGAGACGGGACTAGCAGAAAAGCCGACAGAAAAGCCGATCAGCTGATCATTGATCTGTTCCATGACTGAAGTAGCAACAAGAGAGGGAGGGTGCAAGAATATGAGGCAGCTGTGCAGCAAAGACACAGAATAACTGCAGCTTTGTGGGTTTTTTTTTTCATTCTAGCTGAAGTACGAGACAAACTGTGTTCCTTTTCATCTCAATAGGGATGTATTGTAATTGGTCCACCCAAACTTGATCATGACCAATTGGCTAACCCACCACCTTTTATTGTTTATACCGTTACAAAAACAAACAAACATGAAAAATGAAAAATTGCCATCTGCCAACCGGGCAAATACCCGGTATGGCCGATGGCCAGTCCAGCTATGCGGTCAGCTGGTGGGTAAAAAGCATCTCCGAAAACATTAGAGCACTTTTGCAAATATGTGATGTCAGTGAAAGAAAGTTAACATGAGCTGTGTAGCGGTGCATTCACGGTACATGGGAAAACTCAATACTTCACTAAAGATAAAACAAAATTAAAATAAAAATAAAATATCAACCAATAACCAATAATACATACCAGGACCAGGGTGAACTTTGAACTTGTAGGTGGGAAACAGAAGACACAAAAATATACAACAGTTTCCAGTTTACATTAATTTATGCATCCAAAAACCAGAATAAAATATTTAAATAAAATTAAACAACAATATGTAAAAATATCTCTCTCTGTCTAGTTCAGGTTAGTTTGACTCTTATCTGTGTTAACTACTTGTTAACCTGTGTTAGCTCCT